AATTTATTGTCAAAAATATGTTCTTGTTTTTGGTAAAGTAAATTTTAATTCAAAACTTCTGTCAATGAGAGCGTAACTTTTATCGAAATAATCATTAATTAACGACTGCGAGGGAAGAAAACACATTGGTCATTGACCTAGTAACTGTGCGTGACATTTCTTGATTGCGTGTTGCAAAAGCTTTTCTCTGCCTTTAGAGAGAATTGCCCTTTCAAATAACCTTTATTTCGAAAATATGTCCTTTCAAGTAGGTTAAAAATTTAAGATCATTTCCTTAAAATCTTTTAAGTATTGTGTATAAAGAATAATAAATCTGATAAATGAGGGTTTTGAGAATAATTTTTTAATGTTTTTCTACTTTTCTTTTGAAATTTTTTTTCCTTGAAATTATTCTTGAAATAAGTTGACAATGATCGTTTTTTCTCTCTTTTTTTTTTTTGAAACATTAGAGTTACCAAGTGTAAAAGAAGTGAAGTGTAAAATATGTAGTGAAATTCGATATTCTGGAATAAGTAACCACTGGTGCGTCCTGGGAGTAACATAAGTTTTCTTTTTTCTTTATATTAGACATTTATTTTTTGAATTTATGGTTTTTCCTATTTTTTGATTTTGCATGATTTCGCAATAGTTGGAGATTTATTATTTTTATTATTTATCGCACTTTAGAGTAGAATTTATTTACATATTTGTTATTTGTGAATTTATTTTTTAAACAAAAAATAAAATGTAATTTTTTACTTTTTTGAAAATATCAACATATTTTGAATTCAACTTTTGTTATTGATATGTTATTGATATTAAAATAGATTTTATTGTTTTTAATTTAATTTTTAATATTGATATTCAAATGTGTTTTAATATTTTTAATTTAATTTTTAATATTGATAGAAAAATATTTTTTCTAATCAAAAAGGAGTTGGGCATTTAGTACTTTTTTGTGATAAAAAAGATCTCTCATCTCAATATTTATTTTGCATTTGGAACTTTTTCTATCGAAAAGTATTTTCCAGCGAATGGAAAAAAATTTTCAATTCATATTCTCTTATCTACGTAATGTTTTTTCTTTCCTCGTAAAGAATCCATGAAATCAAAAACGTTTTTTAATTCTATTTTTCTGTAATCGAATCACGTTCTGATAGTTTTCCGATTTAAAATTTAAACTTAAATGTCCGCAATTACAGTGAGCTTAGCTCTTTATCGAGAATGTTTATTTTGTTTGTATTTTCCTCCTCAAAAAAAAAAAAAAAAAAGAAAATCGCTAATAAAAATTTAATTGAAGTTAAAATAAGCTAAATGGTTTTCCTTTCTTTTTTTTGCAATAGAAAAAAGCTTTTAACTTGAATTAAAAAGGAAAAAATTTTAATAGAACCGAATTAACGATCTCTCTCTCTCTCTCATTTTTTTCTTATTTGGACAAAAAGAGTTTATAAATTTAGCTTGCGCATTTTAAAATTCCACAAGTCTTGGAATTTTTACAGGCTTTGTATGTATATAAAGTCCTGCGTGGAGTTGCGCTACTCTCTCCTAGATTTTTCATTCTTGTAGAAAACGTGTATAACATCAGAGCAAAGTACTTTAACAATTTCGTGCCTTGTCAAGTCTAAAAGAATGTGGCATTTAACTTATTTCCTTGGGCAGAGAATTGTTCATCGCTCTTATGCGCAAGGAAACGAGAGAAATTCCCCAACACCCAACTGGATTTACCAAAACTTTTTTTGCCCCGTGATAAAAGCTGTCAAATTATGCCTAAATAATGTTTTCAAGAGCTAGACTCATTTTTTTTTTCTCTTTTGCTTAAAGTTTTATTTTGTGCATTTCTTTAATTTATTTACTTTTCTCTGTTGTGTTGTGGAGTAAGAAAATTATTTTATTTGGAGTGTATTTTTTCAAATATAATTAGTAATTAAATAATAAATTGTTATTTATTATTACAATTATTTGCCCTCGTATTCCCGGAAATAACTATAAATTGGTAATTAATCAATAAATTAGCAAACTAATTCTGAATTAGTTTAGTGGACTAGAGAATTTTTTTAAAATTTCGTACAAATAGTAAAATTTCATTAAGAATTAGTTAAAATAAAATAAATTACTTTAATTAACTTAATGTTATTTGTTTAAAGTAAATTAATTTAATTAATTGAAGATAATTTAAAATTCAATTATTTTGAACTAATTTCAGGAATCATAGACTGTCACCTCTTAACTTTTTTTTTAATTTTTGCACCGATTTCATTTATTTTTTAAAACTTTTTATTATATTTTCAATCCGAGCAATTTTTAAAAGTTTTTAATTAATTTATATCTGAATAAAATTAAATTCAAAATATGAATGCAATATAAATTTGCATTCAAATTAATTAAATTCTTTAAAGAATTTTATTAAATTTTTTTAAAATAATTGAATTCTTTATAGAAATTTTATTAAAATTGTATTGAAAATAATTGAACCTAAATTAAAATTGCATTCAACATACCTAATTGAATTCTTATAAAAAAATGTTATTACAATTTTTAAAGATACTAATTAAATTCTTGCTAAGAATGTTATTAAAATTTTTTTAAATATTTTACTTTCAATGAAGAACTTTATTATTTTTGAAGTTAATTGAATTCTCATGAAAATTTTTTTTTTAATTTTTAGAATAATTGAATTTTTGCAAAAAATTTGATTATTTTTAAAGATAATTGAATTCTTGGGAACAATTTTATTACAATTTTAAAAAATAATTATAATTCCGCGAAGAATTCTATTATTTATGAAAATAATTGAATTCTTTTGAAGAATTTCATTAAAATTTTTAAGAAATTGAATTTTGTCTAGAAATTTTATTAAAATTGTATTAAAAATAATTGAATAATTTCGTTAATTATGAAAATAATTGAATTCTCGTGAAAATTTTTTTTTTATTTTTGGAATAATAAAATTTTTGCGAAGAATTTTATTATTTTTAAAGATAATTGAATTGTTGGGAAGAATTTTATTACAATTTTAAAAAATAATTATAATTCCGCGAAGAATTCTATTATTTATGAAAATAATTGAATTCTTTTGAAGAATTTCATTAAAATTTTTAAGAAATTGAATCTTGTCTAGAAATTTTATTAAAATTTAAAATTGTATTAAAAATAATTGAATATTATCGTTATTTATGAAAATAATTGAATTTTTTGTGAAGAATTTTATTATTTATAAAGATAATTGAATTCTTGTGAAAAATTTTATGAGTTGTAAAGATAATTGAATTCTTGTGAAGAATTTTATTACAATTTTAAAAAATAATTATAGTTTTGCAAAGAATTCTATTGTTTATGAAGATAATTGAATTATTTTAAAAAATTTCATAGAAATTTTTTTAAAGAATTGAATTTTGTCGAGAAACTTTATGAAAATTGTATTGAAAATAATTGAATAATTCTATTACCTACTTTTGAAAATAATTGAATTTTTGGAAAGGATTCTATTAAAATTTTCGAAAATAATTGAATGTCTGCGATGAATTTTATTATTTTTGAAAATTATTGAATTCTTGACAAGAATGTTATTAAAATTTTTGAAAATAATTGAATTGTTTCGAGAAATATTATTAAAACCTTTGAAAATAAAAAAATTGTAAGTAATTGGCAAATTGTTTTTGAAAATTATAATTTTTTTCTACACCTTCTTGTCACTTAGTTTTAGAAAATAATTTTTTAAGGAAACAGATAATTGTGATCGTAGTAATTTAATTTTCCAATTATTGACCAAGGGAAAATAATTTTTCAGTGAATTTCAGTACGTATCAATTTTTAAAATTTCTGTTCAATTTTTAAATGATGTTTATGTGAAAAATGATGAGAAAATGTTACAGTTCAATGTGTCAGAATTAATTTAATGTGATTTTATTAATTTTGAACAGCGATTTATAATTTAATTTTAATCCAGTGAAATTTTACTTAAAGTGAATGAACAAACGTTGTAATTAAGTAAAGTAATTGAATTTTTTATAATAATTTGTATCAAATTATTTCGAGTTCGTATAGTCTCCAGACAATGTGAATTTTTAATACCTTGAATCTCTTTTGGATGAAATTGAATTCTTTTTAAATAATTTAATAATGGAACTTCTGAAATTAAATTTGAAATCTTGCTCTACATTAAGATTTTTCAATTTTACAGTAACTTTTATTATTAGAAAATAATTTCTTTAATTAATTGATCTTATTTGATAAAGATAATTTTTTTAATTTTGTGAGTAAATTTCAAAATTAAAAAGAATTTACTTTACATTTGAATTAGTAATAATGTTGACTAATTTAAATTAGTGACTGACTTTTTTTCTAATTCTAATTTAGAGAGTAGTGAAAGTGAAAATTTCTTTCTATTTATAGAACATTGTTATCTTTATACATTTATTTTTAGATTTACTTTTTTGTTTTTGATTTTTTCATTCTTGACTGTATTGATTTTTTTGCTTTATTTGTTTCTTTTTTTTATATTTATTTTTCTTGATTTATTGTTAGATAATTATAAAGGGTACTTAGACATATCAAGATGTTGCCATTGACCTTAAAGCTTTTGTAATGACATGTGTTGTCAAATGGAGTGAATCGAAGTCAGCCACTTACGAGCAGACACTCCCTGTTAATTTCCGGTTGCAAACACCCTGATTCCGGTTCTGTTTTGGTCCCCAAACCCATGACACTTTTCTCTCTCGTTCGTTCATACCGATTTCCACACATTGGTAATATTTCTCTCGCCTGGCCAGTCGTGAAAGATTTATTATCGAAAGTTGTTACCAATCATTATGGAAATTCGATAGTGTAATAATTCGATATTGGACAAAAAAAAAAAAAAAAGACAATTCAAACTTCATTAACAGAACATCAAATGAGAAAATTTCTTCTTGTAGGTGATTCGTAATTAAAAACGAAAAAAATTATTATCGAATGGAAATATTTTGTTTATTTTTCATTTTTAATATGAGTTATTAATTTATTGGCTATTATTTGATTTACAGATTAGAGATTGGCTCACAGTAGAGGAAGAGATGCTACGTCAACAGATTGTTGTTGTCGGAGACATCGACGAAATTATGCAGCTTCTGGATAAACAGAGGGTGAGTTTTGAATATTGTTTATTAATTGTTTTATTGTTTTACTGATTTAGCAATTATATTTTGAAATTAGAAGGAAATTTTATTTTTTTTTTGGTAAGAAAAATAAGGAGGGGAATTAATTTAAAAAAATTAATTTACTATCCAAGTAATGTAGTTCAATTATTTGCGTTTACAATTAATTTCTCGGAACAAGGGTTTTCTGAATCATTACACTCTTATCCAGATAGACAATTTGGATCCATGTCTGGATAATTGAATTTTGTACTAGACACACAACAAATTGATCAATAATTTCGCTTCATTTCATTAAATGACCATTAAGCGGTATTACTTCGAAACGCTCTTTAACTGATACCATTAATATAATTAATTATGTGCATCAAATAACAATTATTGAAATTACAATAGAAATTAAGATAGAATAGAATGTTTTGTTTTTATTCGTAATTACTAAATATTTGAAAATATTATTTTTCTAATAAAGGAAGAAAATTTTAGACTGAATTTTGACAATTCGTAATTCTTTCTGATGAAAATAATTATAATTTTTGTTTTTAACTCAGAAAATGTTTTTTAATTTTAAATTTTAAGAAAATAAATTTATGTTTGTAGAAAATAATTTGAATTAGTGACTGATTGTACGAACCATGAAGGAAAAATTTATTTGATTCAAAAAACGGATTACTTGTCTATTATAAAATCTATATTTAATTGAATATTTAAATAAATAAATATTTAAATAATCAAATAATTATTTAAATTTTTATTTAAATTAAATAAATTATATTTGAAGCAATAATTTCAGTATTTGAAGCAAATTTAATTGATTTAAAGAAAAATTACTTGATTCAATTAAATGTTTATTTCATAATAGACAACGGTTGGCGTCCAAAAATATTTTTGTTATTACTTATAATTAACTTAGAAAAAATTCTATTTAAAATAGTTGCAGTTGTAAGAATTAATTTAATTTCAGAAGGTTTTAAACTAAAATTTTTGAAAAATTTTAATTGTTTTAATGACATTAAAAATTAAAAAATAAAAAAAACATAAGAATTAATGAATAAAAATATATAAGTAAATTTTAAATACTTTTTTAAATTCTGAAAAAATTGGACTTCTAAGAAGTTTTAGTTTAATTTTTTAAAAGAAAAAAACAAATTGAATTTTAATTTCGTTTTGGTGGAAGAGTGAAAAATTTAATTTTTATATTTTAAACAATTTTAAGGATTTAAATTTAAAATTTTGTTTTAAATTCGAATTTTTAAAAAATTTTGCTTAAAATTCTAAAGAATAAATTTTTTTTTTAATATTTCTGTTTTATTTTCTTTATAGGTAATTAAATTTTTAGTGATTGAAATTTTTCGAAATAATTAAAATTTCCTAAAATTCTTTAAAATAATTTAACTTTTTAAGTTTTTTATTGAAAATTTTGAAAATAATTGGAAGAAGTTATCTACAATATTTAATTTTATTTTTAAAATAGATAGAAATTTAAAAAGTTTTAAATTAAATGTTTGTTTATAAAAATTGGCTTAAATTTAAGCTTAAAATTTTTGTAAAAAATTGAACTTTCGAAAAGTTTTATTTAGAATTCTGAAAAATTTAATTTTAAAAATATTTCAAGTCTATTTTTTAAAGATAATAATTGCATTTTTATAAACAAATAATAAAAATTTTTGAAATAATTAAAATTTCCTAAAATTCTACTATTAGAAGTAATTGAATTAATAAGAAGAATTTTATTGAAATTTTTTTAAATAATCGAGGGAATTCAGCGATAGTAATTAATATTATTTTTAAAATATGAAGAAACTATTTAAGTTTTAAATCATATTTTTATCATTTTTTATAATTGAACTTCTCTTGAATTGGTTTGTAATATAGAGATCAGGGAAAAAGTAAAAATTATGTCTGAAAATCTGGGAAAAGTCAGGAAAACATAAATTAAAATTTTTGTGTCAACCCTTATTTATTATTATTATTATTATTATTTTTGTAATTTTTTGATTAGAAAAATTTTTTTACAATTTTTAAAATTCGCTTTCTTTCAGTCAGTTATCTACTGATAAAAGTAAAAAGATTTGACACCTTGGTTTCAAAAGTAAAATAATGCGATACCTTGAGTTTAAAAGCAATAAAAATTTAACGTGAGAAATAATATTGTGAAGTAAAGCTAAAATATTAATAAAAAAAATGTTATTAATTTAAAGAAAGGAATTTATACGTTTCGTTAGATAAGGTTATTTGTGTTTTCTTGTTTGCTGAGAGAAATTATGTTCTTCATGAATTTTAATTAAAAAAAAGGAGATAGGTGTAATAGAGCAATCAAAGCAAAGTGGCTTTGTGGTATATGGTTATAGACAGTACTATAATGCATAGCTGTAATACAAACTTTTACCTCTGCCCTTTTGTTTTGTCAAACATGATTACACTTTACATGTATAAATATAAAAAATTAGCTTCTTTCTTTGTTTCCTCTATTTTTCTGCTTTTTGTAATTTAATTTCCTCTACTGTCGAAGTTTTTTTTAATTTCTCTTTTGTTTATTATTTATTTAATAACAATTTCTTTTGACATGTTTTTTGTGGTCTTGCTTTTTTATTCATAGTTTAAAATTTTTTCTTCCCCTCTAGTTAGCTGTACCGTTTTTCTTCATTTCCATATCGAAATATTTTTCTTCATTCTATCAATTTACTCTCTCGAAATAGAATTCTTTTCAAAACGGAAAATTTACATCATAATGAGTTTGTCGCTTTATTAGCATTTTGCGACTTTGAATATTTTTGCTTCTAATTTGCGTAGTTTAACTTTTATTTTGTTTTTAATAAAAGGGTAGAAGTAATTATTTCTTTTTCGAAAAAATTTGACATAATAAAGTAATTTTGAATCAGAATTAAATTTTTTCGTTCTGGATTTTCGGGTTTTAAAAAGTTTTCTAAATTAGTTTAGTTTGATTAGTTTGGTAAAAATTAATTTATAAAAGTAAGAGATAAGTGGAAATATTTTTTTTGCACCCTTTTCGCAAGATATGAAACTGTTTTATCGATGTAGTCTGGTTTGAAACCCGTTTTAAACGTGCAAACTCGACGGATATGTTTGCAGGAGGGTAAATGTCCGACGTGCAAAATATGAACATTCGAAAATAATTGAAGTGGAGAAGTTAGTAAGTGCGATATCTGTTGGTGGAAATAAAAAGTAGAATATAGACTTTTTCAGCGAGGAGAAAAGAGCAATGTTGACTTGATATAGGGGTTGCTGGGGAGGTTACTGTACGGAAAAACCCTGACATTGGCATTGACGTTAAACGGGCAACGACCGCTGCCTTGCCTTCGTTTACACCTTCCCTTCTCCGTTTCAACTTCCTCCTTCTCAATCTTATACCAAATAACCGAATTATTCCCTCCATCGACTCCCCACTCATTTTCTTCATCCACCTTCATGCATTTCTTATTATCTTTTTATTTTTTATGCCTCCATTTTTATTTTATATACAAAATTTTATTCCTTTTTTTCTAAGTTACTTATAAAAGAAAGAATGCAATAATTTTTCTGTTATAGTTCTTCATCACAATTAGCTGTTTAGTGGGAGCACTGAAAAAAAAATTTAACAGATTCAATAATAACCTAATTACTTGTCTATTATCGAATAAATATATACGTAAATCAAATAGTTTTTATTCAAATCAATGAAATTATTTTTGAAGCAATAATTTCAGTGTATCACAATTTAATTGTTCTGAATAAAAATTATTTTATTCTCTCTTTTTTGAGTTAGTAAAAATGTTAAGTAATTTAAATTAGTGACTGACTTTTTGCTTTTCAATTAGTAAATTTTACTAATAAATACTATTTTCTACTAATTTATTAGTAAAATTTACTAATTCAAATTTCAAAAGCAGAAAGTCAGTCACTAATTTCTATTAGTAGATATTTTTACTAATTAAAATTTAGAGAGAAAATAAACAAATTTTTATTTTTGCTTTTGAATTAGTTAATTTTACTAATAAATTAGTGGAAATTACTATTTATTAGTAAAATTTACTAATTTGAAAGCAAAAAGTCAGTCACTAATTTAAATTAGTAAATATTTGTACTAATTCAAATTTAGAGAGAAAATAAACAAATTTTTATTTTTGCTTTGAAATTAGTAAATTACACTAATAAATTAGTAGAAAGTGCTATTTATTAGTCAAATTTACTAATTGAAAAGCAAAAAGTCAGTCACTAATTTAAATTATTTAACATTTTTACTAATTCAAATTTAGAAAGCAAGTAAATATGTATTTGATAATAGATAAGTAATCGATTTTTTGAATGGATTGAAATAAATATTTTTTTTTGTATTTTTTGGTTTTTAACTTCTTCTAAAAAATCAACAATTTTTACGTTTTTCGAAACTAATATTTAGTAACTCGAGGATTATTCTATGCTGATTGAAAAATGTGCAATAAAACATAATTTTAGTAATAAAATTCTAAATTTTACTCAGAAATAGTAATTTCTACTAATTTATTAATAAACTTTACTAATAAATAGTAATTTCTACTAAATTATTATTAAAATTTACTAATTCAAAAGAAAAAAGTCAATAATTCAAATTAATAAACATTTTCACTAATTTAAATTTAGAGAGCAGATGAGGAGAATCAGGGAAGTCAGAAAAAATTAAATTAGGAAAATCAGGAAAAAGTCAGAGAGCTTTATAAAAAGTACTGAAAAAAACAAATTTTTAGAATAACTGCAAAAATTCTGGTTTTTTGCTTCCAAAAATATTTTTAAACAATTTGAAAACCTTGAATTCACTTTGAATTTTCTTCTATCTTAAAAGCTTTTGAATCATAGTGAATTTTAACACAAAATTTTAATTTAATTAAATTTTATTAATTTAATTTAATTTTAGTAAATAATTAAAGTAATTTTAGAAATTAGAAAATTTTAAAATAAATTACTTCAAGTTAAAAATTTATAATTAATTTAGAGAAGATTTTACTTGAAAA